GCAATATCAGCGTCAAGCTTGGCGATCTGCCATCAACAATAAGTGGTCACTTCTCCTCCATGGACCTACCCCATCCTGAGCCAAGCTAAGGCCCCTCTCAGCAGCATCCGTATCAGCATCCTCGGTCCCTAGGGAACCAGCATCACCAAGGAAGTACCCCACATCCTTGGCCTCGAGGAAAGATGAGGAGTTCTTCCCTTCGCCTGGATGCCCTCCAGCCGAGCCTATGAGATGGACGGTTTCCGCTCGTATAGTCTCCTACTTCTGCGATCTCACGAGCGAAAGCGACCGAGCTGTTCATCAGCTTCTCGGCGAATTCCCTAGCCTTCTCAGCGGCCCTCCTCAAAGGTGCGAAGATATCCCCTTGACCAGCCTTGTTCTGCATAAAGCTGCTCATCACCGAGTCTGCCACAGACCATCAGAACCTTCAGACAGGCCCTGCTGTCGCCCTTACCGGGAAGTGTAATTTTCTCATTGGCAATATCGTTAAGCCTGGACTCCGTATGCTCAAGGGCCCTAAAGTGAGTCCCTGGAAGAAGCCTCTTCATCGCTCCAGCCTCACTTATCCTGATAGTCCTCATCCTGCTTCAACAAGTCCAAGTCCTTCTTCTGCTCTGCCGTGCTTTGGTCCAAGTCGCTGGTCAGCGACTTAATCTGTTCGTGAACCTGATGAGGTTGATGCTGACCAAGGCCAAGCCAGGTGGTGGGAGCACCAACCTCATTGAGGAGCTCCTCCGACTTCTTCTTGCTAGCCTCTATAACCCTATCAGCGATCCTGGTGCCCATTGCCGTCTCCGCCTGAATACCCAATGCCAGCGGGACCGTAGTGAGTAAGATGAGGAAGAAGGAGGAAGAGGAGGAGAAGTGCATAGATGCGTTGAGTATGTGTTAGAGTAATTGCTGCATAGACAACATCCCCCACCCGGCACTCCCGTGATGAGCACAACACACTGGCAGACCAACACCCTCCAAGCACATGGTCACCGTGAATCCCTAGGCGGAGGTCTCCTTACTTAACCGCTTGGCCAGCGCGTCGA